GGGGGTTGACACAGGGTTTCTCTGTGAAACAGCTCTGGCTGTTCCAAAACTGTAGACAAGGCTGGCCTCAAACTCATAGAGATCTGGCTGCCTCTGCCTCCCAAGTGCTGCAATTAAAGATTTTCACCTCCACTGCCTGACTACATATGATGACATTTTTTCTTCAAATATGTCATAAGTGTATCTTCATAGATACATATAATAAACATCTTTTTCATCTTAGAACTGGAAATAAGCTCTAAGGAATATAGTCAAGAATCAGCAAATGTGTTCAACTTCAGAGCCCTGTGGAGGTTAAAAAGGTAAAACATGATCTGTGGCTCAGGGAAGCCAGCAGTTACCAGGGGAGCCTAGTAGCTAGAGTCTGCAATTGCAGCTGAAATGATGTCATGGTCCCAGGATTTTTTATTCTTCTTATTGTACAGGTTGAGCATCTTTACTCAGAACATCTAAAATCTGAAAGACTATGAAATGGAAACTTTTTTAAAGTTCTGAATTCAAAAATATTTAAAAGATTTTGGATTTTCAGATAAATGATGTTCAACAAGTAAAATCTATACAAATATTTTTGAATTTATGAGTCCCCAAGATCTGAAACACACCTGGTCCTAAGCATTGCACCAAAGCAGACACCCTGGAGCGTGGCTGCGAAGGAAGCAGGAACCACCTGCACCACCGTGGCCCTTCACAGAGAAAATGGAGACACATGAGACCTGGTTCTCTCTTCCAGCATTTGGAACCCTGCTGTTGAATCTGACCTGGAGGACTGTGTTCACACCTGCTATCACCTAGATGATGTGATCTGACAGCTGCCAACGTGGGTCCCACCAACCCTCTGGCTCTTTTGTTATCCTAGCAGATTTCCCAGAGGTGAGCTTATTAGCAGGAAGGATGAGTTTATTAGGCAGGAAAAAGAAATGTCAAGGTCCCTCCTCCACTTAGTAAAGGGTCTATCAGCAGGCAGCCAGGTGCACTGAAAATAATTGGTGCCCACACCAATTAATTTTACTTGTTAGAAACTCTTAAAAAAAGCAAAACGTCAGGAAAGGGAAAAAAGACCTCTGGAGAGGGAGGATTAACATCAGATTGTGTTGCTTCCTGTTGGATTAGCTCTCATCATGGAAAATTCCAAACTTCATAGGAAAGTTCACTGATTATGTTTGCTGTTCTACCCTCCTTTCTTTTTCCTCTTAATCCTAATTAAGCAATTTGAAATCTGGGCCACAAAAATTACAAGTGGAGTCCAACAGATCAGTAGGACCACACCTTTCATACAATACAGTCCATCTCAAACAAACCATATTTTAGAAAAAGAGACAAGATTTAAAAAAAAATGGGGCTGAAATAAATTAAATCTAAGCTCCAAACCAGAGACTCAGGACAGATCTCGTGTAACCTTTATTTCAACACAGACCAATAGAGACACACCAGCAACTATGTTTATTCCAACACAGACTAGTAGAGACATACCAATTGTGAGGATGTCTATGTTACAAAAAAGAATTTTAAAACATTTATTGTCACATGACCACAGTGTATAAATAAAAATTCAATTCATAATCTACTGTCAATCCACCATTGGTGATTAAAAACTACATATTTGTTGGAAGAACATGAACTCTAGGCTGTCTAGGTTAGACAATGCCTCTGGGAGTCTGTCTTTGTGTACTAAGTCACCAGGATACAACATTAAGAATACTAGGCTTTGTAGAGATGACTGCAGTCTTGGTAGGTCATTCGCTCCTGAACACCAAACAACCCTTTTCCAGCACACACAACAGATGTGAATTAGAAATTCTGTTAATCATATTTTCCTTCTGTTTGTATGTTTAAGACTAGATTTCCCTGTACAGCTTTGGTGCCTGTCCTGACATTATCTCTTGTAGATCAGGCTGGCCTCGAACTCACTGAGATCTGCCTGCCTCTGCGTCCCGTGTGCCGGAATGAAAAACGTGCCACACCATGGCCTGGCCAGATTTTCTTTTCTTTTTTTTCTTTCTTTCTTTCTTTTTTTTTTTTTTTTTTTTGATTTTTCGAGACAGGGTTTCTCCATAGCTTTTGGTTTCTGTCCTGGAACTAGCTCTTGTAGACCAGGCTTTAATCACCCTGATCAAATACTTGAGAGGGAAAAGAAATTAAGTAAGGATTTAGGCTAATTGTTCCAACTGTTTCAGAACATGGTAGCTGGTTCTAATGTTTCTAGGTTATGGTGAGGCAGAATGGCAATGCAGAAGCAGGCAGAGAAACAAAGTTGCTCACTTCATGGAAACCAGAAAATGAAGAAGAATGCCTAAACATTAAATAAAGGCTTACTTCTCCCTTTAGTCCCTCTAGGCCTCCTATTTGCTGACCTCACTCCATTCAGAAGGCTTCCTTCCTCTTAAGAAATAGCCTCATAAACAGAGGTTTGTTCTACTAACCAGGTGTTTACCAATCCAATCAAGTAGACAAGTAAGAATGACCATTGCAATTACCAACATATTTTAAAAGTAAAAAAGATCATGTTCTCTGTAAAATCTTGCTTTCGTTAAAGTAAAAATTCCTTGGGCCTAACTATGGTTCTCAAAGTGGAGGGTTTTTTTTTTTTTTCCATTGAAAATAACTATCGGGAAAAAAAAGAAAAAAAAAAAGAACATAACTATCGGGCTGAAGAGATGGCTCAGCAGTTGAGAGCACTGGCTGCTTTTCCAAAGGACCTGGGTTCAATTCCAGCACCCACATGTCAGCTCACAACTGAATGTAACTCCAAGATTTGACACTCTCAGACAGATAAACATGCAGGCAAAACACCGATGCACATAAAATAAAAATAAATTAAAAAAAATAATCCCTCTCCTTACTCCCCTCTCTTCTCCTTCTACTTCCTTCTCTGCCTCTAATACACAGAGAAGAACAAGGCATCATCTGTCTCCACTCCATGAAAAAGACTGTAAACCAACTCTTTCTGAATCCAATAGGAAACATCAAGAAAAACACGTAGAAATGTGACGCTTTAACATAAAAATATTTTCAAAATGAAACCAATGTGATTCTCAAAGACTCAGGAAACTGCGTGCCCCCTGTCCAGTCTACATCATTATTATAAAGTAAAATTCTTCTTTACATTTTACCAACTTTCTGAGTTATACCCAGATCCTCAATCAGTTATTATTCTCAAGTGAGCCAATGTACAAGCTTTCAAGAATGATTATCAGCCCATTGCCTCATCACATTTGAGAAGTCTATGCAGTAACAAGAATTGAGGGGAAACAGGGCAGTGGTGATACACAACTTCAATCCAGCACTCAGGAGGTAGACGCAGGCAGATCCCTGAGTTCAAGGCTAGCCTGGCTTACAGTGTGAGTTCCAGGACAGCCAGGGCTACACAGAGAAACCCTGCCTTGAAAAAAAATGGAGGTGGAACAGCAAAGTGAAGCTACCCCAGATTTTTCTCCAAGAGGCACAAACCATTTATCTAATGTAATTGATGATATAACAAACTATACTTTTCTCTAGTATCTTAGACAAGAAAAAAGTTCTGACATGGTTTAGAATTTTTTTAAAAAAGTCCATGAAATGGACAATTATAATTATAGTTGGAAAATGCACAATGCCACCTAGAAATAAATACATTATAGACCAGGACAGTTTTTCAGCTAAAATTCTAGGAAACTTAAAAATGCCAGAAAAGTGATAGGCTGAAAATCCAATGCAAAAAGCTAATTGGAACCACAATGATTCACTAGACAAGTAGATTGAGTTTTGAAGACTAGATCATAAATCCTCAAGAAGGGAAAACAGCTCTAAGACTGAGTCACTTCCTCAATTTAAATCTAGTTTCCAAAGGCAAACATTGAGAGTTGTCTGGAAAAGGAAGAGGACAGTGATCTACAAGTTTCCTTGTGAAGTGCTATTCAAGTTCAGGAAATGTGGGAGAATGGTGCAGAGGAAAAACAGATATTGACACATAGAATCTACTGTCCTGGGGGACAATAGGTACAATTTATGCCATGGGCCCATATCTACCATATCTACATGTACATACACATGGGGGGTTGCATATGTGTATGTGTGGAGGCAGAAGGACAACCTAAATACTCAGAAATACTCAGAAATACTATCAAGTCCTCTCTCTGTGACAGGTCTCTCTTTGGCCTGAATCTCACCTATTAGGGTAGACTTGGCAGACAAAAAAAAAAAAAAAAAAAAAAAAAAAAACAAACCCAGGGATTCCCATGTCTCTGTCTCCCTCACCCTGGGATTATATGTGTGCACCATCATGTCCTGCATTTTCCTATGTGTGATAAAATTTAAACTCACCTCCTCTTGCTTGTTAGGTAAGCACTTTGCTGATGGAGTCATTTCCCCAACCCCAAAATGCATAGTCTTAAGAACACACTAACTGAAATCGTTTGATAGACTGTGTAATGCCTTTCTAGGACTCTGAGGAAAATGGAGTGACCAAAACACGATCTTTCCATTATCTTAGCCATCTTATTGAAAAGGTTGAGAGTAGCGAAATATAATATCCTGAAACTATACTCCAAACTTGCTGTCGATAACTGCTGCCTTCCCTCTTGTCTTCCACAGAATACAGAACTCTCGAGTACACCTTCACGGTATGTTAGTCCACTTTCTATTGCCAGCAACACAGGATCACAGACTAAGTACAGTATAAAGACCTGAGATTTACTTTAGCTTGTACTTCTTGGGTACATGGGGTAATGACAAGCTTACTGGCAGAGACCTGAGGCAGCTCAGAGTCACATGACAAGAGTCAGAAAGCATGTATCTCTGGTCTCTATCCATCTTCTTATAAATCCACCGGAATGACTTTTCCTAATCCTAACCACTTCTGAAAGGCCTTGCCTCTAAACACCATAGTAGATTAAATTGAGACCTTAAGACTTCACAGTGGGGATTAACTTCCAACACAGGAGCTTTGGGAATGATCCAAAGCACACCAAACATGAAAACACAAACGATTCTTCCTCCTGCAGAAACTTAGGAGCTGGACTCACCTCTTGCCGTTTGAAGTTCTGAACATATTCTTCGAACTGTTCGTCTTTCGTTTCATCCGCTTTTCCCAGCTTCTGGAGGACCTAGTTTGGGACCCAAACAAAATAATTTGATTTAACAGTGTTTCTAAAGCAGCTTGTTTAGTAGAGACTACTGCTGTTCTCTAAGGGGTCTGAGCAGAAGCCACCCTCAACGCTCTAGTTGTTCTTCTGTGGAGGTGTTGTACTTGGTGGCTTTGGAGCTGAATAGACTTGAACTGTGTGATTTTGAGCAAGCACCAAGGTGGCATTGCAATTGTTTGCTTACATATGAATTCCTCTAGGAGTCTATACATAACTGTAAAACTGAAGCTAAGCTCGATGTGTCATTTTGTCCCCAGAAGCTAGCAAAATGCATGATGTACAGTGGGTGCCCAGCTATGTATTAATGAAGCAAAGCTATATGACTGGTGTGCCTTCTAGTGATGGCATTCAATTTTCCTGCCCCTGTTCTGATATAGTCTTAATTCAATGAACAGTCAAAGTGGCCATGTGTATACAATTATTTTATAACCCCACGCTAATCATTGGATACACAGAAATATAAAACAAATAAATCAGGTTGCAGCATTTATCCCAGGAACATCTGACAGTCTAGTAGAATATAAGGTATGTTCACAAAATCAAAGCAGAGTTAATGTACTATAAGCAATACAAGGAAGTTATAGAGTGTTGTAACAATATCTGTAGAGCCAAAGGCTTCAGAAAATACTCTGTGAAGATTGTTTTTAGTCTGTTGTGAGGAATTCCAACTGACAGGAATGTGGCAGAATTCATTCCAGGCAATGAAAGGGGTCTAAGCAAATTCACAGGAAGAATGATTGTGTCTAGAACACAAGGACAACATGCCAAGGGTAAGATTTCTTGAAGACACAGGAAGTCCCATGAGGATGAAGCAGAGAGAGCATGAGTGCCACAGTAGCCTTCACTATTTGTCATCATTGTCCTTATATCTCATTTTTAAACACTGACTTCTTCAAGAATATGGAAACTCTATAAGCACTGTCCTCTAGAAATTTACCTCGTGACATCCTATGGTATCATCAAACTTCACTAAAACCTCCATACAAAGATCCACATTCATCAAAACACGTGGGATTGATGACTGGAGGGAGCTTAGCTTGAATTCAGAGTCTTATATTTTTGTTATTATTATTGATTCAGAGATCAAGAAAAGCAATGGAAGTCACACTTGCAACAGAAGCAAACTTGAACAACCAAGGGAGTCTCGGGTTCTCATCTTCTGTGTTTTCTAAACCTCAATGTTTTAAGATGATTTTTGACTTTACAGTTGTTTGAACTTTTGTCTCGTCATTTAAAAAAAATGTTTTAGAGAGAAATCTACCAAATTACCTATGGCTACTCAAATATAGACACACACATAGACATGTGTACAGGCACACACGAGCCTAAAGGTGATGAGGGAAGTGTTCCCCTAGTTCTCAAAGTCCACAAACCCAACCCTCTTCAGACACTCTGTATCACAGGACTGGTTGGGTCAACCCCTCATCTGTTGACAGCAGCATTCAGGCAAGGGATGTTACCGGTCTCTTCTGAGCAAGAGGAGCTGCCAAATGATCAGCTCTACAACCTGCTAGAGCAGTGAGCAGGCACTCACTTAAATATGTATTGCACACCCTCTATGAACCTGAAATTGCGGAGGTAATTGACCATTACTCTCATCCTCAAGACAATTTTGTGTGGCACCTATTTTACCCATTTGACATCTGAAAGATTAGGACCACATAGATAAGTAACTTACCTCTTGGAAACTTTCAGGAAACTCACCTTTCTACAGGGCAATGTCTCTGTCATCATCAGTATGGTCTTTTCCTTCTCAAGGAAAGCAGGAAAGACCTACATATCAAATCTAATATTCCTACTTTTGTGAATAAAATATATTAAGGCCACTGGGCTTTAAGAAGCACATGTCTTGCTCATACTCTCCCTCCTTCCACTCTTCAACTGGACCTTGGGAGCTCCAAGGTGGGTCTCTGTCTCTGTTTCCATCTGTTGGTGGACGAAGGTTCTATAATATTTAAGAAAAATCACTCTGACTACAGGGCAGAGCCAGTTCAGTCACCCTCTCTATTGCTTAAGGTCTTAGAAGTCAAAACCATGAGCGGTTCACCCACTGAGACAATGTGCCTGAGCTAGTGGGAGCTCAGCAACTCCAACTGGACTGGTAATAAATGAGCATGGGATTAAACCAGTCCCTCTGAATGTGTTTGACAGTTGGGGCAGACTGAGGGGCCAATGACAATGGCACTGGGATTTGTCTCTACTGCATGTACTGGCTTTTGGGGATCCTATTCTCTTTGGATGTATACCTTGCTCAACCTGGATATAGTGAGGAGGGCCTTGGACTTTCCACAGGGCAGGATGCCTTGTCCTCTCTTAAGATTGGAGCGGGGAGAGGGTGTGTGGAGGGAGTGGGAGGAGGGGAGGAAGTTATAATTTTGATTGATATTTTTAAAGTAATAAAATAAAAAAATAAAGTATCCCCAGAGGGAAGAGGGGAGAAGCATGTGTCTTACCAGCTACATGACTGTAATAGTGGGAAGATCATGGACAGACTCCTGCTTGAAGCTCTTCACTGATATTTCAAATCGTGGATCCTCATATCTCGTGTTTTAAGAATAATGTGATATAAATGAGACGAGGCTAGAAAACAACCACGAAACAGCTCCTCCATGTAAAAAGCATTTTCAGCTTAACAGCGTCATTGCAAATGACAACACACACAGAACTCTCAGTTGCAATGGTCCCGGATCTTGGTTCTGGCCACATGAGGTAGCATTATCCACAGAAGAGAGCGAAAACGGGAGGAGGGACAGGGAAACTAACCTTTTCCAGGAACATGTTCACTCTAGTGGCCACACTGGAACCCTGTGCGCTGACCCTGAAAACAGCCTACGCATCCTTGAGCTGATGAATAAGCTGAGACTTACAGAAAAGAACACCTGTGCAAAATCACTTCCTTTGTAAGTACCATATCCCATTCCCTAAGACGCCTTTACCATAAAGATAGTATCACCCCAAGGCACTGACACTGTAAAATGGAGACTTAGAATACCAATCCTGGAATATCAGTGCCAAACTTGTTTAGATTTCAGACTTAACGTGCTCCAAAGAAGTGGTCTCCATGACAGGTCTTGAATAGTTTGCCTTTCTATCAAAGTCCCTCAGTAGAACCCCACTATGGGTTCCCTAATTCATCATGAACCAAGTCTGAGTTTTTTATGATTGGTGACAAAGTTGCAATGCCCCTGACATTATGTACAGAAGAAGAAATGTTTGTTCTACAAGCTGCCATGTGGTAGTGCCTCAGAAATCCTGACTTTTAACAACATTGAGACCTGATCAATCCACCTGTAACCTTAGAACAGTTAGTAAATTTATTATTTAGGCATGAACAAAACACATTGACCATCTATATTTTTTCCATTTACTGAAAATGATTTTTTTTTCTCAAATATCTAGAGGAAGGTTTCTTCTGGGTCTACTCCTCCCATCCAGATCTAACCCCTTTCTGTTTGTCATTAAAAAACAGTCTTCTAATTAATAAAATAAAATAACTAATACATCAGAATAGGACAGTACAAACATACAGAAGTGTAAGAGTCCCAGAAAAGGCACGAGAAACAGATACAGGTGCAGAGACCCCACTCATTTGCACACTCAGAAATCTCATGAAAACACAAAGCTGGAAGCCCTAATATCTAAACAAATTGCATATATATATATATATATATATATATATATATATATATATATATATTTAAAAGCCCTGGTACAACATTGTGAGACAAGGAGCCTTCAAAGATGTTGTTAAGTTCATCTTCTGTTGGCCATCTACTGCTGGGTACACTGTCCACCCTTACAAGTAGGTGTTTTTATCCTCCATGAGACTCCATTGGAGGAAACAAAAGTTTCATCTGCAGGTAAGTTATCAACTGAAGATAATGTCTGGGTTAGGGATAGAACATGTGCCATCTATAATTTACGATCTAGCTGTAATTTTATATCTCCAAAGTTTCTTTAATCAACACTTCATTCCCACATTGACACTTTGTACCTCCTTAACCCTATAAAATTCTCTCTTCTATCTTATGATCATGAAGCTTCCTAAATCCTCCATGAAGCCTCCGCAGTTCAAGTGGGATTACCACCATTAACTTCTTCCCATTTACTATAGGAACGAAAGTGCACTTATGGGCTTTTGGTTATTTCCATAATAACTAGTCATTTGCGTGAGTTTTACTGTGTTTCAGGTTCCTTTCCAAAGATTTAAATACGTTAATTCATTTATTCATAATGACTTTATAGCATGTGTTGCCACATTTATAGGTGAGGAGAACTAATGAATGGGAAAACACAAAGTCAGTCATTGCAGGAGTACATTCTTATTTAAGAGAGAACTCCCATCCTATTGACCCTTGCTCTGCACATGTCTGTCCATTGGATTTTACTCTCATAGTGTGCCTGGCTTATCTTCCAAAGATCAGGCCTTCTTAATAGCCCACCTTCTCCACAACCAACTCAGTGATAGTGAGTCACTAAGACAATCAAAAAAATACAGGGATTAATAAACAATTTTCATTATACTGTTTGAGTTACAGTTAGTCCTATGTCTGTTCTGATTGTTTTTTGTCAACCTCACACAAACCCAGACATATTTGGGAAGAGAGAATTTTAATTGAGAAAACGTACCCATAACATTGGTCTATAGTAAGTCTGTTATAGGGATTTTCTTAATGAGTGATTTATGTAGAAGGGCCCAGCACATTGTGGTTGATACTTCCTTGAGCTGCTGGTCCCTGTTATATAAGAACATTTGGATTTAGACTTTAATTTCATCCAGATTGACACTTTACTATTTGAGAACATAGAGTTTTAATTGTTAAATTTGCTTTTTTTTTTCATTTGGCAAATTGTAGATGCAAAATTCAGCATGTACTTTCTTTCAGTGAGATTCTGCATCATTCTCCCAGGTCTGCACTCATTCTCCCATGTTCCCTGAACCCAGAAGTTCCAATTTTAAA